CGTGGCTGTACCTTGCCATAACCGCTAAAATCGATAACAATGGAATGGGATGCAGGGTGGACAGGGGAGTCTTGCTAATTCAATTGATCAACGGAGGGGGGTTGGGAGCTTAAAGCGGAGTGGCAATCATAATGGAATAATCGTGCCATTTACACCTGTGGCCTGTACAAAGTGGCAATTGGCAATTTACGTTTCTAATTAGTTGCATCCGTGGCGCGTGCAATTTATGCTCGGAATGCGCCTATTGGCAATTGTTTAGATAGTTGTCGCCGACCATTTGCCCCGTCACATTGTGCGAACCACGTGCAATGGTCGCCCCTTCCTAATTGCCGATTGCTGTCACCGAAGTACAGTTTGCATCATTTATTGATTTGCATTTGCATATTGTTGTCATCTTATGACCAGGCAAGTCCCCCCGGCTCTACGTTTAGTCATGCCTAAATATAATAACACTTAAAATTGCATTAATTCGATTAAAGATTGCGATAAGATTAATTCCTAATGGAAGGCAAACACTGAGGGAATCACAGCAGATACAGGGACCAGAGATTCGAATATTTACTCTAAGATTTAAATTGAATTTGCAACCAATAATTGTTCATACCTAAATTTGAGCAGGAAAATAAAATATTAAATGTAAATATATTTCAAATATAACATAAATGTATTTAGTATTTAAAAGAAATATATTTCATATTTAATTCAATTACATTCCCTTGCAAATTGAATAAATAATTATATTAATGTCAAAGTCTTTGCCAGCATTTACTGCCATGAAATCCTTCCTGTTCTCTGCCTTCCCAGTGCCTCAAAATATCTCTCTTTTGCTCTTTTGGCTTTAATAATATTTGCACAACATACTTGAATAATTTCGTTTAATTTGTGCCCATCCTGTGTCCGATGTCGTAGGATGGGTCGGGCCGTATGGGCTCTGTCATAAATTTAAGCGCAATTTGTTTGTCTTGCATGTCATTTTATTGTCCACAAAGATTTCATATTTTTTAATAAGCCCTCTCCGTTTTGTTATTATTTATTCTCGTTTAATGCCGGTTGGAAAATATTTTTAATGGGTTTTACAGCACGTGCCGTGTCGTCTGTATTTGTGTTGTGTTGTGTTGAGTCTGTTATCATGAAGTATTTATTATTGTTGTTTGAATTATAGAATATTTTGCAACATAACATGACAGATTATTGAAGTCTGCAGCTGCAGCCAAAACTCTGCCCCATTGAGTCTGCAAATATTGCAGCAAATTTCTGGTGTGTGAAAATTTGTTAAAAATTGCAGAGGAACATTTCCCACAACTTGCCCTATTAATTGATAAAAATATACTTATTTATGTTGTCATACGCCTAATTGGTTGCAACAGGTGCCACACGAGCACCGCTGCATTTTTTTGTTGCCACTTTTGGCATAGAAAATTGGTGGCCATCTCGATGTCGATGCCGCCGTGTGTCGGTGGCCATAGGCTGCTCATAATTTATATGCAAGCGGGATAAGTTTTATATTTATTGGCCAGAAGATAAGTCTTGAGACTCATTTATTTTTGGCCTGCTCCCGCATCGAATATAAAAATAAATTATTTCCACATTTACAAATCAAAATTTATGTGCTCTAATTATTTATCTTCTCTTTATCGTTTATATATATTTTCCCGATCTCTTACATGTCGAATATTTTATGGAAATTATCGCGCAAATTTCGATTGGCCTTATTTACATTTTTAGCTGAATATTCCCATGGTTCTAAAGTTTTCTATATTTATCTTTACAGATTTTGAAGCATTCTCTGGTAAGTAGCAGAAGATTCCTCAAGTAATGAAAGTAGATTCCATAAATTTGAATTACAATTAAAATTACAAACATTACTGGCTTCCCATAAGCGTAGATTCCCAAGAGCTGCTCAGGGTTTAGGTAGAATAATATTTCCATATTCCCATGTTCTTTACTGCTCGATAAAACCTTTTTCCAGAACCATCTTTAATCTATTTATACCTCCTGTTTTTCCTTTGTTTTCTTTCAATTTTACTAACCACACCTTTCTCATACTTTAATCAGGATTTCTTTGCAGTTCATGGCATATCAAAGGGTAACTTTTAATTGAGTTTAAATTTGAAAATATTAAAAATTCTATTGATGGGCAGATCAAAATAGCTAATAATAATAATTCAACTCTGGGAGTACAGCAAATTCTTTGGATTGCATTTTCTGCCGATTTTCTCATGATTTTGTAACTTTAATAATTAATTTTAAATGTAAATCTCAAGCCAATTATTTGTATATTTTGTTTTACTTTTGAATTCCATAATATCATCAAGTGTGCTGCTAAGCTGCTCTGTGAGAGAGCGCGCGTGGCAGTTAATTGTTCTCCAGGCAGATTTGTTCCGTTGTTCAATTTCTAAAGAATAAATTAATCCAAAACCAGATTAAAAGACTTGCACAAAATAATTCCCCGTAATCAGTTTGTAAAGCAAATTGTAGTATTTATAGGAAAAATGTAAATTCAACACTAATTAGTCATCGGTATGTGGGAATATTCTAAAGTCATCAAAAGAACACGCTTCAATGGGATCGTATCGGATCGGGAACGGGACGGGACGGGACGGAAACGCTGTCGCTGCCAGACGACGAAACGCATTAAACTAAATTGCAATGCACAAAAGTCCAATCTAAATGTTGATCTAAAATCGAAATTAAATTGAGATAGGAACTGGCTGGGTGCGGGCAGGGGGAGGAGTATCTGTTGGGTCACGTTCTGCTCGGCGCTAATCGCTCAATTTGGCTCACTGCTAGCACGCGGAAATGAGTGGGAGGGCACACAGAGACAGCGTACAGTGGGGCTAATGCTAATTAAATTTCGCTAGTCGCTATACACTGGGGGCCACGGTGCGGCGCCGCCCTCAGACTTAATTTGTTTGCATGCTCGGTAGAGCGGAAAAACAACAACAAATTGACATAATAATGATCATGTTTGAGGATAGTCAACAGTCAGCAGCAGCATCATCATGATCATGATCATGATCATCATCCCCCACCCCCCCGCTCAGGCAACGGAATTGTGTTGGGTCTGCTGACAGACAGGCATTTAGTTCGCGCTCTCGCTCTCTCTCTCTCTTTCTCCCCCTCTCTTTGTGTCTTTTCTGTTGTTCAATTTGTATTCTGACTTTGAACTTGTGTTGTTGTTTGCTTGTAATTTACCGTTTCTGCAGAGGAGACCCTCCACTGTCCGTCGCAGGTTGAAGGGCTGGCTGATCGACAGAGCTCCTTCCTCCCCCATGCAACGTGACGTTTAACGTTTTAAATTTAGCCACAAAAACAAACAACAACAAAAGATCGCGCAGAGAGAAAGAAACCAAAAGGAGAACCAACGTATAACTGGACTTCCCATTCAGTGCTTAATATGGACCGACATTTCAATTGCGATTGCTATTTTTAGGCATTGTCATCTGTGTGGGGGCTTAACGATTATTTTGCATATTGAGGGAAAGAGATCTGAACGTTGTACGTGCCCCGTTTGTGTGTGATTTGTGGCAAGGTTAACCTGTATTGCATAACAAATATTGCATAATTGAGATGTGATGTTGTCGAGTGGCAAACTCGGGAATTGCTGCTAAATGTTATGGGCCATCCAAGCCATTAACCGTTTTTAAAAATGTTTCCAAATCAACTGAAATCTTGAATAATTATCATATTTGTCAAACATTTACTTCCTGCACGTTTTACGTAGACATGCTGCAGCTCATTGACCCTGCATAACATTTTGCCTTCAAGAATATTGATTTATTTATTGTGTTGTGTTTTGCAAACATTTTGCGAGTGCAAAAGACCCAAGCGTCCTTGCCTTGACAGCTAGAAAGATCCCATGAAATCTTGACCAGCAAATTGAACTGAACATTTGAGCATATGGCAAGTAATGCATATTTGCTTTTGTTTATGCAAAATGTAGGTATAGAGTTTCATGAACCTCAACGAAATACTTATTTTTGATGGATCGCAAGGGTAGAATATGTTAATGATGTGTGCCATTTGGGAACTCAAGGCTGTTTTAGCTATATTTTTGACACGATTCTACAGCGATTTGATGGGTTTTTTTTGTCCCATAGTTAACTGAAACTCGCTTCTAAAATTCTTAGCTCTCATTTTTACCATCACAGCGCTGTACATTCTGCTTGTAGTTTTGCTCCATCCAAAAATTTGTCAAAAGCCAACGAGTGGATGGCTGATGGAAATTTTGGATGTGCACGAAACCCTCAACCTTTGGCCCGTCCGCCCACACCATACCGCACACGTGTCATATAACATTGGGCGCTAATTAAATACCGGAGGGGGGCTTTTCGGTCTTTTGTGTGTCAAATATTTTTGAGGGCGTTCGATCACTTGACTCGTGTTGCCGGTGCGCATAAAAAGTAAACTCCTACGTAGATACAGCTACAGATTTGCACAGCCTGACAAATATCACACATTTTTCGAGTATTCGCTTTTGTGTTGGCTTGGATACAAAATAAATCCGCCCCTCGGCAACAAAAAAAAATGAAAGCAACTTGAACTATAAACAAGAATTTAAAAATAAACTTCCTCTAATTGTTAAAATAATATAAACATGAGTTAAATGCGCAGGCCGTGCCATGAGTAAAAAGTTGAGTACTGTGGCTAAGAAAACGTGGGTTAATGTGGCATGAGCTAGGGTTAAGGTTTACCAGGCGACTCCCTCTCTAGTCGCAATAATGCTACTAGTTACAAAAATAAATTAATATCAAATATTTCTTTGTGTAATTTTGGCTAAAAAGAATCTTTTTCATATGAAATTTCCATTTGGAATTCATTAAAAAAAAAAAAAAAAAATCAACCAGAAATAAAGTATTTAAGGCGTCAAATGTCAAATAAAGTGTTGGCAGTTCTTAAATCTATTTTGAAACATTAGACAGAAGCGACAAAATTTCTGGGAAAATAGCCAAATATTTTGTTAGATTTCCAAAATTAGCTAAACAAAGAGGTGCAGAACCATGCAGAACGTGTACCACACCCGGAACTCGCAGCCTTCGCAGAATCTATCGCGCAAGGAGCTCATCAAGTGGGTGAATGAGACCCTAAACATTGAGGTCAAGCAGCTGGAGGCTTTGGGTTCGGGTGCAGAATACTGTCTGTTATTTAACCGACTGCGCCCTGGCATCATAAACCTGAAGAAGGTGAAATATGGTTCAAGGCCACAATCGGACTACCAGTCAAACCTAATCTTGCTGCAGCACGCGCTGCAGAAGGTGGGCGTGGAAAAGGACATTCAGATAGGCAGAATGAGCGTGGGTGGCCATCGGGAGAACTTGGATTTTGCGCAGTGGTTCAAAAAGTTGTACGATCGAAATGTACAGCTGCAGGATGCAGTCTTTGAGAATGTCTCGGAGCCGAGCAAACGCTCGTCCAGTAGTACGCTTGTTCCCTCGCAGAGATGGGTAGTTCCCTCATCGATCCACAGTCAGAAATCAATGTTCCACCTGCCTCGAAACCATCAGCGTAACTTCGTTTGTGTATGTGGATTCGATAACTAAATAAATCAATCGAAAATGTAACTAAATTCTAGCCGCATTTTGGATACATTTTAGAGGATCGGAACTGGAACCCTGCGAATGTGCAAATAAAGTTCGTTTGCCAGCCCCAACGAATTCTCCTCAATTTGAAATCAAAGTCAATCACTCATTCCTATTACTTAATGGGGGGACAGCCGAGCTTTAGCCATAAAGCAGCCGCCGAAACCTATACGGATACAGTTACAGATAGAGCCAGAGATACAGATACAAATACAAATACAAACATAGACAGGGACTTACTACTACTAACTAACTAACGCCAACGCCAACGCGTCCGACATTATGGAGGCGGCAAAATTTCGCACATTTTGCACAGGTTCCGCCGCGATCGCCACCGTTGCCCTTGCCGTCGCTATGGATCGTTATGGCTGTTATTGTTGCTGTTTTCGTCGTGCTCCGCCATTTGTAGAGCTCATTTAATTTTTATTGTTGTTTATTGCTTAACGAAAAAAAAATACAAAAAAAAAAACAGAAAATGTTCATTTTAAATGTTTGATTACAACGATTTGTGAAGTTCAGTCGAAATTGTGATTTGCGCGCTGGAGGAGCGACCGACCGCCGCCGTCCGTCGTTCGCCGTTCGATCGTTGGAGCAATGCGATTTTGAATTGCATTCAAATCGAATCTCGATCCCCAAGCGTGCGACATACTTACAATCAAACGCAATCGCAAGTTGATAGCCGCTGGGCAGGACGCCGGTCCTCAAGTGTCCCTCAAGTGTTGAAGCAAAAAAAACTAAAGAAATCTCAAAACTCACAAACGGGAACGTAAAATATTTAAATTTGAAAACTCTGAAGTGTGTGCACGACAAAATGCAGCTACTCAATTTTATGTGCCTCAAACAAAGTGGGTTTGATTTATTTCTAAAAAATTTCACACAAAATTGCCGCACAAATTTCCGTTTTGTGACTAAACTAATTTGAATTTAATGTTATCGCCAAAAGACTCTTATTTATTTCTCATATGACCCGCATTTGTCATGTTATAAGCCAAAAATGTGCACAGCAAATAGTCAAATTAATGATCCCCTGCTTATAGATAGATTTTTCATTTAGGCGTATAAATTAGTGGAGAGTGTGTGGAGTACCAAGAGTTGTGGGCCGGGCCCGTTTAGCGAAATTGGTGGAAAGACTCGAAGGTGACTGACGTTGATTTATAAGTATCCCAAACTTAGGATAATTTCATTTTGAAATTATTGCTGTGCTCCGATAATAAAAGTGTCGCAAAGAAATTGAACATGCGCTGAAATATTTCACAAAAATTATGTAAATAAATCAAATGGCAAGCTAGAAAAAACGATGGAATATAAAAACTAAAATGAGTGCCACAAATTTGAATAATTTATTTAAATTAAATTTATTTATTTCCCAGCACTCGTCTTCATTTTACTTTAACGAGCGTCATAGATTTAATTAACTGCAAAAGAAGAAAACACAATTATTTTCCATTGGTCCAAAACTTATCGAAGTAGATTTTTGAGTGTCGAATATTTATGCTGCATGCATTTGATTGATCGTTGAAATAATGTAAAATGTAGTCGTAATTCACTTACAAAATGCATTAATCAATGTCAGTGCTTAAATCTGTGCTGATAGTCAATTATTCTTCCACATGAAAACTGCTGAAAAGAAGTCTCGCAAGCAGTCAAAAGCAGAGAGAGATCCCCTAATCCAAACAAAACAGACACTGGGCCACTTGGCACGACACTGAACTCATCGAATACATATGGTATGAGTGTAATATGCAATGCAAATTGTGTCAACAATTAATATTGTATGATTATTGTATGCAACTGCCATGCCATGCAAAGTTCAACCAACTGCAGAGCGACAAGCAGCTCGTTAAAGTGTCAATAAAAATGCATTATTTGCCTTAAAATGAATTACAATAAATAATAATAAATGAAACAAATATATCGTTTTGTATACAATTTATTTCGTTTCATCTTCCCTAATGAAGCTGTCGAATATTTTTGTAAATGAAAATCCCAAATGTCTTTTTTTTATAGTTTTCCCTAATTTAAGGGCCATCAATTAGCCCAGGTGTCTGTTTTATTAGATTTTCCAAGTTAAGTTGCTTAAATTATTTGCTTTAAGTAGTTATAAAATAAATTTATGGGCGAGAGCTTTGAAGTGTTTTCCGCTAATGAGACAAGTGGATCAAGTAGATATGAATAGCCTGCTCATTTTGGTAGATTGTTCCAGTTTGATGGGAATTACTTTCGCTACTAAAAAGCTATAAATGTCTGTTTAAATAATCGCAGAATGTGTTGCTGTGGAAAAATCATAAATCATCCGCTAGCGTTCCGTTCATTTGTCTCAGTGTATAATCTTCTCTTCTATTGTGTGCTTTTCTCTGCTACTGTTACTTGCCCTTTATCTTCTCATTCAAACACTGTACTCATATTGGTGAGAGAGTGCATAGTGGTCTCGCTCAGAGAGGATCGAAGGAGCGCGTTCCAGCAAAGAGCGAGTGAGGGAATAGCTTGCAAACACTTCTCCGCAAACAAAAAAGCTTCACCTGAAAACCAATTACACATCAACACAAAGAAGAGTATTCATTTGTCGACTTGTCTGCTTTCTTTTCCCTTTTCATTCCGTTTTCTACTCACGCACACAAGCATAGTATCTACGCATAGCGCTGACGACGATCACCTTTTCCAGCCCCCAGCCTCATCCTTCTCTCAGCACACACCACCCCTGTGGATACGCTGCCATGGCCGAACTGCATTGGAAATGATATGCAAACAGCAGACGATCTATAAATAGAGCCGCCACGCAAAAATGGGAAATGCGTGTGTGTGTTCGTTTGTGTGTGTCTGACTGCGTGTTGTGTGCGAATTTTATTTTTATAAGTCTTCGGGTCCAACGATGGCGCATTTTCATGCATAGCAGAAAAGAATTTCACGCCATGGCCAATGCAGACTACTGATCCTATAATTTCTATACAAACAGAATACATACAACATAGTCTGAAGATACATATCAAAATATACGACTAAGTTTATCTGTATGTCTGTACCCATGCATAAATTATACAGATACATCTATCTATGTATATTTCCATATGGCTGGTGTCTGACTTTCCCCATTTTGAGATCTACTCTACGGGCTTGTGAATGCAATTTACAAATTTTCCATGATGGCTTTACGAACGTATTTTTCGGGCTTCCCTCAACACGTCCCCACCACAACCCTCACCACATCCGCACCACCCTAATGGAACAATTAGTATATTATATCCAACCCACAGAGAGAGATAACCAAGTGGAAGGGACAGTGAGATTGGACTCGGGCTGGAATCCATTTGGGGTTTTGGGTGCGGTATAGAAAATACGTCAGTTGTCTTGTCTCTATGCTCTACTCTTTTTGGACTTTTTATTGTTGCTAATTGTTCCCGTTTGCTGTTGCTGGAAACGTTTTTCACTTATCGTGCGCGTCAGAGCTGATAAAATCTGAGTACACAAAAAAAGTGGAAAGAATAAACCAAACGAGAAGAGAAAATAAAACCCTGTGAAAGTTAAACTTGTCAATGGGAATGAAAGTCACATTTTGTGATAGAAAAAATTTCAATATCGTATGCAACAACTGAATCACAAGCCAAGAAACTATTTGCAAAAAGAGAAAAACTGTTTTCGCATATAAATACAGTTAAAAGGAAATTGTATTTGATTAGAGATTTTATTTTAATTTTAGTTTTAATATTCCGAATTTAAAACAAGGAAATTGTTTACCACTTTTTAAATCAGTTGAAAAAGCACTTGATTCTACCCACTGTGCGGACTGTGCACTTCTTTGCTCTCACTCGCTCGCTCGCTCGCTCTTTCTCTTTCGGTTTCTCTCTCACTCTTCTTCGCTTAGTCTCTTTTGCTATGCCAAACGGCAACACAAGCTCCGCACCACCCCTTGCCGTAACCGTTGTTGCTGTTGATATTTGCTCAATACATTTATTTTTGTATTTTCTAACGAATGCTTGTTGTTGCTTTTGCACCATGCCTGCTGCCCCCGCTGTCCGTTGTGGTGGCCCTCTCTGCCAATCAGGCCGTTGGCGCACTTGTTACGCGTCGCCGTCGCTGACGTTGGTCGACGTTAGCGTTGCTGCCGCTCGAGCAAAAGCACAGTTGTTGCGCGGCGTTGGATGAAAACGCGTCGAAATCGCGTGAAACGAGCGACAGAACGAACGAAACGGCAGCACCCGAAGAAGACGAGGAAATCGCGCGCGTGCGTCGAGAAGGAGGCACAAGAAGCAGAAGAGGAGGCAAAGAACAACACCAGAAACACAATGTAACGGTTTCTTCATAATTTTGCGTAAATTGTTTTGATTTCTTTTGCGTGAAATCAATAAAAACCGAAATGAAAATTTATTGAACTATCCGCAAGTGTGTGAAAGTTTTTGTGTGTGTGTGATGATGAAACGAAATCAATTTTTTTCCACTTTATGTACGTGGTCGTGTGACAACGCAGACTTGTGCTTATCATTTGCACATGATCGTGTGACTGCACCGCGCTCGCTCCCTCTCTATCTCTTTTGGTGTGCTGTGCTCTCTGCCCACCATCCCTCATTTGGTCTGTCGCTTCTCCTTTGGCTCCACGCCATCTCTTCCTAAGAATGTCCATGTTGGAAGTTTAATGATTTTCGCATAAAGTTTGCCCCAGAAGGTTTTTATATGTCAAAATATTGTCAGAAACTCTGGTCGGGAAACATTTATACCAAAAAAAACTCAACAAATCATCCACTCAAAAAAATTATGAGAACGACAACTGATGATTGTACATGCCTTAGAGAGCGATCGATGTGCAAGGGTATCAAATGCTTCGAACAGCAAACCCTTGGTAGCCTGATGTTTAGGTTTTGATATTGATTTATTTTGACATTTTCTAGGCGCCTCTTTGGCAACGTTTTACTTAGAAATATTTGTATTTGTCTTTGCTTAAATTAGCAGCCACAGGTCCCGCTTCAGTCCGCACCACTCCCTCGCATATGCCTAATGACTGTTGCCAAGTGTTTTGTTTTTGTTTTGTTGGGTCTGCGCCGGTTTTAGAGGCGTTTCCTGTACTCTACGTCTTCGACGCCGTTTCCCTTTTTCTGTCGTTTTGTTTGTTGTGTAAACATTTTTTGTATGCCTCTGCTTCGCATTTTATTTTATTTGAGTTTCGCATTAGAATCGACGGTCCCCAAAAAGTGTTAAATTGTGAAATTCAGTTAACCCAAAAAATATATAATGTGTACATGGATGCATATGTTTGTATGTAGTATCTATGTATAATAACAATTGCTGTTTGCCTAGCTGATTTCGGTTTTAATTAAGTGCCAGGCCCGGACCCAGACCCCGGCCACATGACACGTCCGATAACTGGAGGCTCTTTATCGCCTTGTCATAGATATCTTCTTGGAATTTTAGTTGCAGTAATTTGCTACCCATTGTAATTTGAGTAGGGGATATCTATGCATAGTAATATTTTAGGTGAAATAGAATATCGGAGGAATCCACTACGTGGTCTTGGAAAATAATTTTAATCGAAAGACTGAAATTTTCGGTGAGAGTGATCTGTTTTCTTTTCACATTAAAGGTACATATATCCAATGTGCAGGTATTGTATAGTCGAAATAAATGGACTTTCATCCAAGTTTCATCGTACATGTTTCGGGGCAGGTCTTATCTCAAGTTTTGATTACATTATGGTACCACGGAGTAGTACACTCCAGCGACTAAGTGGAACAATATCATTATTATGAACATTTTAGCTGAAAGCTAATTACGGTTTCCACACGTTACTGTTGTTGTTGCTGCTGCTGCTGCTATTTATAGCTCAATGCGGTCATTGGTCCCGCGCTCACCTCCTCCCGCTCTCCGACATTCGCTACATTCATTGCGAGTAAAATGCTTTTTATGCTGCATGGAGCAGCAGAGAGATAGCAAGAGCGAGCAAAAGAGAGCACGATCGGCCAAGCAAACAGTCGTGGGCCAGAATAATATGCACACTGCAGCGTCTATTCATAAAACGAAAACCTTATCAGCGAAACGTGGAAAAATTTAGCATAACAGCGGTTGACCGATGGGTGGTGTGCTAGAGGGGTGCAGGAACTGCCAGTACGACATGTGTTGGGAGTAAAAATGTTATTTATTGTGGCAAAACAATTAAAATATCAACAAATATTGATAGTTTTAAACTTTTAAATGTTGTATAAATATTTGCAATTTTGTACAAGATTATATGTTAAATTTTAAGTATTTTGTATAGGGTTGTGGCTATTAAGACCTCTCTTAGATTATCCACTGAATCATCCCTTGCCTAACCACATTTAGATGGTGACTAAGACGATCAATCCATGGAATGGGCACTGAATAATACTACCCCAACCCACCACAGATAAAATATATTTACCATTGAAACTTTTCGGAAACAAAATCCAAATTTCAACCAATTTCGGCTTCTCTTTCGCGCTTTCTCGCTTTCTCGCTCTTTTCTCTCACATTTTATTCCTCCCGTGAAACGTAACGGAAATAGAGCTCGGTTCATCTTTGTAGACTTGTTGTTTGTTTTTGTATGACGATAACCCTAAAAGGCATGGCCCAAAACTTTACCCGAAATCTACTCTTTGCTCTATTGCAGAGGTTGCGCACATCGCCAACAACAACAACCAGAGCCAGAGCAAAGCAGCAACTTCGGCAGCAAACGAATCAAATCAATTATTTGGTTGCTTTGCCAAGAAGGAGAAGCGCCAGCAAGAGGAGCGGGAAGAGCAAGAGAAGCCACAGCCAGCAGCCAGAGAAAGTTCCCACTCGGGCAGCTACAACGTGCAGCAGCAGCAGAAGCGTTTGTCCAGCGTGAGCTTAGCAGGAGGACATCCCGCGATCTATCGGCAGCAGGACGAGGAATTCCATCCCAGACAGGAGCAGGCTGCACCTAAGAGAGACAGTTTTGTGGTGTGCAAGCAACCGCAAGCGAGAGCCAGGCATCCACAGCAGCGTTCGCAGAGCCAACCGGCGATATCACAGCAGCCCCGCAGACGTCCAGGAACACCGCCACCGCACGCCGCCGGCACAGCCAAGAGCATGACCTCCATACCCGCCACCCTGTCCAGCAACAATGTGGCCGCCGCTGGAGCGGCCAATGTGCCCGAGAAGCAGCCGTGGCCCAACTCCAAGGATGACTACGAGCTGCGCGACGTCATCGGTGTGGGTGCAACGGCGGTGGTGCATGGCGCCTACTGCATACCGCGCAACGAGAAGTGCGCCATCAAGCGTATCAATCTGGAGAAGTGGAACACCTCGATGGACGAGCTGCTCAAGGAGATCCAGGCGATGTCGTCGTGCAATCACGAGAATGTCGTCACCTATCACACATCGTTCGTGGTGCGCGAGGAGCTGTGGCTGGTGCTGCGCCTGCTCGAGGGCGGCTCGCTGCTGGACATCATCAAGCACAAGATGCGAACGTCCAACTGCAAGCAGGGCGTCTTCGATGAGGCCACCATTGCCACGGTGCTGAAGGAGGTGCTCAAGGGCCTCGAGTATTTCCACTCCAACGGGCAGATTCATCGCGACATCAAGGCGGGCAACATCCTCATCGGCGACGATGGCACCATCCAAATCGCTGACTTTGGTGTGAGCGCCTGGCTGGCCACGGGCCGGGATTTGTCGCGCCAAAAGGTGCGGCACACTTTCGTGGGCACACCCTGCTGGATGGCCCCGGAGGTGATGGAGCAGGATCATGGCTATGATTTCAAGGCGGACATTTGGTCGTTTGGCATTACGGCCATTGAGATGGCCACCGGAACGGCGCCGTATCACAAGTATCCGCCAATGAAGGTGCTCATGCTGACGCTGCAGAACGATCCGCCCACATTGGACACGGGCGCCGATGATAAGGATCAGTACAAGGCCTATGGCAAGACATTCCGCAAGATGATCGTCGAGTGCCTCCAGAAGGAGCCCTCGAAACGGCCCACTGCCAGCGAGCTGCTGAAGCATGCGTTCTTCAAGAAGGCCAAGGATCGCAAGTACCTCACCCAGACACTGCTCCAGTCCGGTCCCAGCATGGAGACGCGCGTCCACAAGGCGGCCAAGCGGCAGCCGGGTGCCTCCGGTCGCCTGCATCGCACCGTCACCGGTGAGTGGGTGTGGTCCAGCGAGGAGGAGGACAATGGCGGCACCAGCGGCGGACGCAAGCATCCCTCTTCGGACTCTGATTCGGAGGATCGACCGATGAATCGGTTGGAGCGTGCCGACTCCTCAGACAGCGATCGAGAGGATCCCTCGCCCGAGATTACGCACAGCGTCTCCTCGACGACTGTGACGCCAGGAACGGGACAGAATGCTGCCGCTGCTGCCGCCGCTGCCAGCACTCAGGAGGTAACCGCCGGCGTGGCCCAGATGCCCCTGCCCAGTGAAGAGCGAGGGGGCGAGGAGGCACCGCCCGTCAATCTGGTGCTGCGCATGCGCAATCTACGCCGCGAACTGCACGACATACGCTTCGAGTTTATGGTGGGCAAGGACACGGCCGAGGGCATTGCCACGGAGCTGGTGGATGCCGGTTTAGTGGACGCACTGGACACACAGCCAATGGCCCAGCATTTGGACCAGCTGATAGCACAGTGTGCGACCATGAAGACGATCACGTTCCAGCTGAGTTCGGGCGTCCAGCCCGGCGAGGTGCCCGACGAGCGTTCGCTGGTGGGCTATGCGCAGATATCCATCACAGACTAGAACGAGGATGGGCTGTCCGGCGGCCCAGTGCCTTAAATGCAGCTCTAAACCTAACAGCTCTCCCTCACACACACACACACACAATCCTCGCCACAAGCACCAGCACTACCCTCCCCCTTAGGCCAGTGGGCTGCAAGCAGGAGTGGAAAGAACCCGGAAACGGAAATGGAAACGGAATGTGGCCGTTTTGCTGCTTTTAGCACTAGACTAGAACTAACTGTAAATGCTAGTGATAGATGTTAATGCGAGCCGATCGTTTTACTATAGAAATTTATCAATGTATCGTATATGCCCCGCTCCCCTCTCTCTCTTCTATATGTATTTCCAATGCGCATTGTAATTACTCCATGTGTAGCCTATCCCACTCTCTGCTGTAATTCAAGAATCGTGTACTTATTCGTTTTCGTTTCGTTCGTTTTTAAGTAGCGCGCTCCACCCCCCACCCTACCCCCGCTCTGTATATAAATCTGTTTTCGATTAGCACCGCCCACCCACCCACACAAAGGCGCCTCTAATTTATTCTCTAGCAATCGTAAACTTTACTTTTTAAAGCCTAGCGCCTAAGTCTTTTGTTTTTTTGTTTTTACTCTTCCCCCCGCTCCACTCTCGTACTCTATGCTACGAATTCTGCAAGCTGTCTACCCCCTTACCCTGTAGTTGTTAAGCCTGCAACGAGATGCAACATTAAACTGTAAGAGAAAACAACCAGTAAGGGCGCCCCTGGAGGAGCAACCAAAACCAACCCAACACAGGGCATGGTACAGTTGTGTCTGCCTATTCTTAGTTTTTACTTTATATAATTCAAGCTCTGTAACTACGATGAAGTAATACCGTAAAGTAAAGCCCCAAAGTAATTTTAGAACACTGATGAATATTATTTAAAAAGAAAATCACACAAAAAAAAAAACAAGAAACGAAAAAGGAAATTTTTAATTTTGTGTTTTTATTCGGTCTTTTATCTGTACCCTGGGCAGCTCCCAAACAAACAAAAAACAACTTATAACTATGATAGTGCCGTAGTATATCCATAGGGAAGAGAAGCCAGTATATGCCTGTAACTTTAGACTTTATAAATTTTAAATTGTTGATGCGAGAAGAATCGATGAAAATAAATCTTACAATTACAAATTAAACATTTTAAATGCAATGGACCTCTTAGATACTTAACAATTAAATCGAGAGAGGGAGAGAGAGAGAGAGAGAGAGAAATTTGAAATAAACATTTTGCATTTGGTTCCCTGAGTTTCTGCTGTCAAACTCTCATCACATCAGTTTTTTGCAGCCATGTCCGACTACTTTGAGGAGCTGGGCCACACGCCCACCGGCCCGCAGGGTGCCAATGATTACGAGCGGCACCATCGACGCCTGCAGGTGCTGGCCATTATGAATGGCATCGACATTGAGATAGAAGTGCCGGAGGCCTCCAAGCGTGCCATTGCCGCACTGCCCGTGCACACGGTGCTGGAGTCCGAGTTGGGTGGCGATCTGGAGTGTGCGGTGTGCATGGAGCCAGCCCAGTTGGGTGATGTGTACAAGATTTTGCCATGCAAGCACGAGTTCCACGAGAACTGCATACTGCCGTGTAAGGTAAATAAACGTAAACATTTTGGGTGTGCAATTTTGTGTCGAACTCATGCCATGCCTCAAACCACAGGGCAACACGTGTCCGCTGTGCCGCTACGAGCTGGAGACCGACGATGCGGTCTATGAGGAGTTGCGCCACTACAAGCAGGACGAGCCCAATCGTCGTGATCGTCATGATCATCTCATGGATTCCATGTTTGGCTAAAGGAGGAAGGGAACACGCTGCTGCGGCATTTACACGAGAAAAATTATCATTTGGTTTTCGGGAATTATATTAAAAATTATGCAAAGTGGTACGAGGTTCGATTTTCAATGGGGTGGTGTCGAATGGGGTGGGGGCATTCAAGTAAAGCCTAGTACTCAGATCCGAAAACACGCGTTTGCTGCCAGAACTGCCTGTAGCTGAGTGTGACCAGAGGTGAAAACCGCATTGCGTACGGTTAAGAAGAGAAAGCGCCTCATTATTGCACAAGTCCATTCCCGCGGGTCAGAAATGCAATAAACATGTGTTTGATCTCTTAATGAATTAATAAAATGAGTGCCGAGCATAAGATTAATAAATTATAATATCCTGCTTCCTTCCTCGTGCCTTTCCTAAGACAAATTGTATCTTTCGCTTCGAGATGGAAGTATTTAATCGGCTAAGTTTTCTGGTATATTTTCTGCCGATCTGAGTACCCAACTGCAAAATTCTTGCGTCAAAATTGTCTGTCGAAAAAAAAGGGTAAATTTCGTATCGTTTGTATGGGAAAATCATCCCTGATTCTGTCGCAACAATATATTGCGTGTCTGAGCAGTGGGCTTTTGTGCGCGACAACATTTCTTATCGATTACATACGAATATCATCACTGATTTTTCTAGCGGCCCCTTTTTCGGATCTGTGTAGTAGGCTTTAAGCTGTCAGTTTGCCACTGAAGTGACACAATTTGACAGGGATTCGTTAATCATTTAGTGCTAGTCAAGAATGTTCGACATGACGTCCGTGACGAGCTTATTCCTACGCAGAGGCCCAGTCGCGGATATCTTCTTGAGTACGGAGATCGCGTATGTGGATGAATTGACTGCTGTCGATCGAGATGAAATCATTACTGCACTGAGCGAGCGCAAGGTGTTGGCGTCGGAGCTAGTGGGCGACGACAAGGAGTGCTCCGTCTGCAAGGAGTCCCACCAGGTGGATGATATACTGAAGAGCATGCCGTGCAAGCACGAGTTCCACAAGCATTGCCTCATCCGCTGGCTGAGGGAGGTGAGCAATCCATGACACATTTTTATTGGTTGTAATTAATTCTACGATGCTAACAACTGCAGGCTCGAACGTGTCCCTTGTGTCGCTGCAACCTTCAGGGGCGGCAGTTGGTCTACAGACAGTTCAGCCGCTTTATGGAGATGCAGTCCGCCCGGACACGCCATCCTCTTGCATACCGCAACCGTAGAGCCGCGCAGCTGCACATGAACCGCCTCAGACAGAGCGTCATAAGCCAGGGCATCGAGTCTGACTCCAGTGACACCAGTGAGGATGAGTCTGACTCCAATGGGCACCAGGAGCCCTTCCTTATACGCACACAGCAGCTCATGAACCGCGCCACACAGAGCTTAGGCAACAGCGCAAGTGGCCAGGGTGACACTAACAGGTCTGACTCCAACGGCACCAATGCGGACGCGTCCAACAGCATCAGCGAGGGCGACTCCAACCGCCGCGAGAACTAGTTCAGTTCGAATTATTGTTGGTATCTGCCTTTACGACAGAAAAAGTGTCATTTCATGTTGAAAAATTATAAATACAGATAATCAATGGTACAGTCGGGCTCCTAATGGGTGGGATTATTGCTCCATGGTACTGCTCCACTCGCCAACTCCAGCTGAGAGACATCTGTGAAGGATTTAGAAGCGAAAAGCACATCGATATTCAGCTGACATAATTCTATATATTTATTTAACAATTAATAACTAAATGTGTGGGTGTGTAGAGGGGGTCTTTGTCTTTGTTGCTTCGTTCGAACTTAGTGGAATTTTGTGCTGTTGTTCCTGGTGCGCCTTGTCTTGCGGCTACGCTTAATTGTTGTCTTGCCTCCCTTGACCTTCCGCTTGTACTTGCGGATCGTCTTCTTTTTCGTGCCCGTACTGGCCGTTGTTGTGTCGCTTGTACCCGGAGCAGCGGTTGTGACGCCAGCACCAGGAGCTACTGTTGTCACTCCGCCAGGCACTGTGGTGACCTCGGGTGCCACTGTAGTTGTTGCCAACACGCACTGGATATTGGTTAGGTCCACAGTGCAGTCGATGCAGGCCGGATCTGTGGGATCAACCGCACAGGTGACGGCTGCCCCGAATGGCAGATTTGCTATGCACAAGGCGGCTATGAGCACACAGCCAAAGATTGCAGTTGTCTTCATCATCTTGATTGCTTGTGATGGAGAATGATAATCTGTTCCCTCAAGACTAGATCTTTTATAGTCGAGTTCGATACAATACGAAGCACTTGCTCCAATTTTGCGCAGTTTGCACAGCAGTTTGGGAATGACTTCCTTTGGCAATTCGGATGTTCGGCCTAGTCTAGTTAACATCAACGCAAATATCTGACATTTCATGTTCATCAGTGATGGCTCGATGGCCAAAACTGCGTCTATGTCAGTATTGATACAGTTGGAAAGTACGCAGCAATCTGCTGCCATCAATCTATAGCTAAAAATACAAATGTCGGGCACAATTGTTTTTGTTTGCCCAATCTTCTGTCTGGCATCGTGCCTAAGACTATGCCCTATTTCCAATTATTCATATTGAATTTAATGAGATTATTGTGTGTATTAGTACCAAAATTGGGTCAACCAAAGCTCAGACTGAAACTTATCTTTTCGTCGCCAGCTAACGTCGATGCTCGAAGACAAAATCTAGGAGTTGGGTTGGGTCTTTAGCATCATAAATGTGAAAATTGGAATGCTTTTAGCTTGAATGGAAACCCTAAGAGNAGCTGACATAATTCTATATATTTATTTAACAATTAATAACTAAATGTGTGGGTGTGTAGAGGGGGTCTTTGTCTTTGTTGCTTCGTTCGAACTTAGTGGAATTTTGTGCTGTTGTTCCTGGTGCGCCTTGTCTTGCGGCTACGCTTAATTGTTGTCTTGCCTCCCTTGACCTTCCGCTTGTACTTGCGGATCGTCTTCTTTTTCGTGCCCGTACTGGCCGTTGTTGTGTCGCTTGTACCCGGAGCAGCGGTTGTGACGCCAGCACCAGGAGCTACTGTTGTCACTCCGCCAGGCACTGTGGTGACCTCGGGTGCCACTGTAGTTGTTGCCAACACGCACTGGATATTGGTTAGGTCCACAGTGCAGTCGATGCAGGCCGGATCTGTGGGATCAACCGCACAGGTGACGGCTGCCCCGAATGGCAGATTTGCTATGCACAAGGCGGCTATGAGCACACAGCCAAAGATTGCAGTTGTCTTCATCATCTTGATTGCTTGTGATGGAGAATGATAATCTGTTCCCTCAAGACTAGATCTTTTATAGTCGAGTTCGATACAATACGAAGCACTTGCTCCAATTTTGCGCAGTTTGCACAGCAGTTTGGGAATGACTTCCTTTGGCAATTCGGATGTTCGGCCTAGTCTAGTTAACATCAACGCAAATATCTGACATTTCATGTTCATCAGTGATGGCTCGATGGCCAAAACTGCGTCTATTTCAGTATTGATACAGTTGGAAAGTACGCAGCAATCTGCTGCCATCAATCTATAGCTAAAAATACAAATGTCGAGCACAATTGTTTTTGTTTGCCCAATCTTCTGTCTGGCATTATGGAAATCCATGCTCCATTTCTTAGTGTTAATATTGAATTAAACTAATGACTAAAGTCGAGGTAAAAAGCACATGCATCTCTGATCTCTTGTATTTGCACTATTTGCTTCTGCGGATGGAGGTAAGCATTATTTGGGTACCCTTTGCAGGGCGAAGACGTGAGCCACAGAAGTATACGATGCAGAAATCTGATGAGGGACGCCATTCGCCATCGCCTGGAGGGGCTTGATCGCCAAACATAAGGTTTCCAGATGCCGCAGTTGTGAGAAATTGCAGAATTTGCGTTGCGGAATTATACAGATATTCTATGGTACATCCAGGCTTTTAATGGGTGGAACTATTGTTGAATTGTGCGTTTTTCGTATTCCTCTTTAACATGCCTGTTCCCGGCTAGAATCAAATAGTAAACAAACAACAACAATGCGCCTTGATGGGTGGCAAGGCTACGCGACGAGAAAAGGGTTGAGAAGTGCTCAATGTCCATGGGCTTGTCAACACTGACAATCACAGTAAAGTAAATACATAAAAAATATGGCCAAAAATACAGGATCGTATATTTGCGTAAATCAATTTGCGTTAAAGGACAATCAATACGGCAAAGAATCCGAAGTCGCCGGAAAACATTTTTACGATCTTCAGGTGCTAATATGTATATTGATACTATCGCTAGGAAAACAAAATATCACCCATAAATATCATTAACCAAAAATACATATCGATATTTTGATGAATGTCTAACACGCATCCCTAGTAGTGCAGTTATTTCGCAAATTTCATTGTGTGTGCTTCGTTTTTTTTTGTACGTCTGAAATAGTCCGTTTTTGGTGAAATTTTGATTGGAAAATTCGTATTTAACTGGTGTATCGTTCCTCAAGTGACAGTTTAGGATGCTAGCTGGCAATAGCATTATGAAACCTTTCGATCTCCAATTTGTGGCGACGCACTTGAAAAAATTGCTGCGCTGCCCGAAATGTCAAAGCGACTATGCTCTCAAAAGTACTAATGGAGAGGGTAAGGTTTTGCTTTAAACTAGCCAACAGTTAGTTTAACATATTCAAATTAACATAAGAAGCGAAGCAATTAGATCAAATACTAATTAAATGTATTCGAAAGTGCAGGAGTAGGAGACGCTGTTGATTTCATCAGCGTTCTTGTAGGGGTGTGTGTGTGGGTGAGTGGAGTACTTGTGCATGTATTTGTAGCGTCTGTTTGCCAAGACTTAAAAGTCTAGCCAAAAAAAAGCCAACATAAAAACCGCCGATTGTTGAGATTGATTGCCGAATAGAACTCGAGTGTTTCCAAACGCATTTTATAGGTACAAAGCTGCGAAATGTATGCATGTACATGCCCACCAATATGTCCATTGGAATGTTGGAAAGTTCTCGAAGAATTTCGTGATCCGCAGCGTAAAAAAAAAGGCTGAGCCGTCAGCACATTAACCGTTACAAAAAATGTGCGTAGTTTCTCTTTGTGCTGATATTCTAAACATTTTCCGCTGCTCTTTTTGGCAGAGAACCACCGTCCCTTCCTGCTGCCCTGCGGCCACAACTTGTGCGAGAATTGTTTGGTGGATGACTTTAAGAGCGAGAAGAACGCGCAGTGCGCCCTCTGCTCGAAGGCAGCGCTGCCGACAGTAAACGCACAGGATTGTACAAACAGCTACGGCTTGCCGTACCAACTGGACTACCATGTGATGGGCGAGCTGGCCGAACTGGAGAACATCCGCCGCTCTTCGATGGATCACCTTCGACGCGTGGTCGTGAGTAATGGAAAGAAACAGCGTCACAGCGTCTATGTGCCAAAGTGCAGCGAGTGCATCAGCAGCGTGGCCTCGGGCAATTGCAAGCAGTGCGATGCCTTATACTGCAAGGACTGCTTCGAGTCTGTGCACCAACACAGTCGCGCACTGAAGGCGCACGCCTTCAAGTACCTGAACGAGGGTGCCGGTGATACACGCAAATGCATAGTCGTAGGCAATGACGCCTTCGTCATGCCCTACCAGATGAACTGCAACGTCCACCTGATGGTCTGCAACATCTACTGCCGACGCTGCAAGGTGACCGTCTGCGGCAAGTGCGTGGACAAATACCACGAGGAACACCAGCACCAACCGCTGTCGGAAATAGTGAGCCCCGCTTAACAATTCCTCCCCCCTTCGGGCTGTCTGCATCTGGTAATTTTTTGGATTTTCTCTTGCAGAATCTCCGCTATGAATCCGAGATACCGGCCTGCAAGATCTCCCTGGAGTCTGCGCTGCGCAACATTCACAACGGCCAGGCGGTGAGTTAATCACTAGTCAGATTTTATTTTCACTATTGCTATAGGCATTATGTGTGGCATTACGGCTAGCTATTTACAGTACTTGCTCGCTAAGAATAATTTAAGGCATATACAACATACGATTACGATTCTCATTACAAATATGGCAAGCTCTTGCGCTACAGTCCCCAACCCTCAGCCGTATCATTCACCGGTCCCCTTGATGGGCATCAGTTGGCCCGTGTCGCCATCCGTCTTGATCTCAATCACCTCCAGCTTCTGCACGCTCACTCGGGTGGTGCTCTGCTTCTGTTCCGCCGCCTTAGTGTCGCGCAGACTCTGCAGCTTGTCCTCCTGTTCCTGTTCCTGCTCCTCGCTGCCCTGCAGCAGCGCAGTCGGCTCCACATCAAAGTCTGCCTCCGGTTGCGGCGTGGATGACACGACTATCGGTCTGAGCACAAACGATTGCTGCGTATCCTGAGTGCTGCTGGGAGACATCACAGTGGTGGGCGCCTGGTCGTAGGTGTCGTAGGAGCCGCGCTCCGAAATGTCATCGATCTCGTCATCAATCAGCAGATTACGCTCGGAGCTCTGCTCGTACACCTGGGCATTGATGCCGCTGCCATGCTTGGGCGACGGCTTGTGGTTCTTGGGCAGCGCCGGCGTAGATGGAGCCACCTCCACGGGCTTCTCTGCCTGTTCATTGGTCTTGCGTTGCTTCTCCTGTCGCATCTTCTCCTCCATTTCCTGGAACTTCATGGCCAGATATCTGCAACACAAACGGAAGAGTGATTAACTTTAATCTTTAGTATGTAGCTCCATCTCTTACTTGTCCACAATGGGTCCATTGTAGTCCTCGGGGAACTTCGGATTGAAGGGCAATATGTACTTGTAGAGGCGCTCGTTCAGCACATAAAGCTGTGCCGTTGTCGAGCATTTCACGTTGAACCACCAGTCGCAGGTGAGAGCAATCTGTGAAGGATTTTAAAGTAAAAAAAAAACATCGATATTCAGCTGACATAATTCTATATATTTATTTAACAATTAATAACTAAATGTGTGGGTGTGTAGAGGGGGTCTTTGTCTTTGTTGCTTCGTTCGAACTTAGTGGAATTTTGTGCTGTTGTTCCTGGTGCGCCTTGTCTTGCGGCTACGCTTAATTGTTGTCTTGCCTCCCTTGACCTTCCGCTTGTACTTGCGGATCGTCTTCTTTTTCGTGCCCGTACTGGCCGTTGTTGTGTCGCTTGTACCCGGAGCAGCGGTTGTGACGCCAGCACCAGGAGCTACTGTTGTCACTCCGCCAGGCACTGTGGTGACCTCGGGTGCCACTGTAGTTGTTGCCAACACGCACTGGATATTGGTTAGGTCCACAGTGCAGTCGATGCAGGCCGGATCTGTGGGATCAACCGCACAGGTGACGGCTGCCCCGAATGGCAGATTTGCTATGCACAAGGCGGCTATGAGCACACAGCCAAAGATTGCAGTTGTCTTCATCATCTTGATTGCTTGTGATGGAGAATGATAATCTGTTCCCTCAAGACTAGATCTTTTATAGTCGAGTTCGATACAATACGAAGCACTTGCTCCAATTTTGCGCAGTTTGCACAGCAGTTTGGGAATGACTTCCTTTGGCAATTCGGATGGATGTTCGGCCTAGTCTAGTTAACATCAACGCAAATNCCAGCTGAGAGACATCTGTGAAGGATTTAGAAGCGAAAAGCACATCGATATTCAGCTGACATAATTCTATATATTTATTTAACAATTAATAACTAAATGTGTGGGTGTGTAGAGGGGGTCTTTGTCTTTGTTGCTTCGTTCGAACTTAGTGGAATTTTGTGCTGTTGTTCCTGGTGCGCCTTGTCTTGCGGCTACGCTTAATTGTTGTCTTGCCTCCCTTGACCTTCCGCTTGTACTTGCGGATCGTCTTCTTTTTCGTGCCCGTACTGGCCGTTGTTGTGTCGCTTGTACCCGGAGCAGCGGTTGTGACGCCAGCACCAGGAGCTACTGTTGTCACTCCGCCAGGCACTGTGGTGACCTCGGGTGCCACTGTAGTTGTTGCCAACACGCACTGGATATTGGTTAGGTCCACAGTGCAGTCGATGCAGGCCGGATCTGTGGGATCAACCGCACAGGTGACGGCTGCCCCGAATGGCAGATTTGCTATGCACAAGGCGGCTATGAGCACACAGCCAAAGATTGCAGTTGTCTTCATCATCTTGATTGCTTGTGATGGAGAATGATAATCTGTTCCCTCAAGACTAGATCTTTTATAGTCGAGTTCGATACAATACGAAGCACTTGCTCCAATTTTGCGCAGTTTGCACAGCAGTTTGGGAATGACTTCCTTTGGCAATTCGGATGGATGTTCGGCCTAGTCTAGTTAACATCAACGCAAATATCTGACATTTCATGTTCATCAGTGATGGCTCGATGGCCAAAACTGCGTCTATGTCAGTATTGATACAGTTGGAAAGTACGCAGCAATCTGCTGCCATCAATCTATAGCTAAAAATACAAATGTCGGGCACAATTGTTTTTGTTTGCCCAATCTTCTGTCTGGCATCGTGCCTAAGACTATGCCCTATTTCCAATTATTCATATTGAATTTAATGAGATTATTGTGTGTATTAGTACCAAAATTGGGTCAACCAAAGCTCAGACTGAAACTTATCTTTTCGTCGCCAGCTAACGTCGATGCTCGAAGACAAAATCTAGGAGTTGGGTTGGGTCTTTAGCATCATAAATGTGAAAATTGGAATGCTTTTAGCTTGAATGGAAACCCTAAGAGGGCCACACCTGCAGCTATAAGCTTACGTTTCCTTATGCTAGATAGTTCCTCCTTGCTGCATAACTCCATCTCCAATCAGAATTCCTCACCAAATTCCCATTCTTAACTCGCTTAAAACTTTTTTTCTCACCTGACTGAAGATGGTTCCATTGGGGCACAGAAAGGAGGCCTTGCCACCGTTGAGATCGCAGTAGTGCCACACCTGGCAGTTGGTTTCTGGATCGCCAAAGAATCCCTTGTAGCGTTGCTTGGTGCACTCGAAGCTGGTCTGTGGAATCACCGAGTAGTTGGGATAATCGATGCCAGCACGTCCAGTGCTTGGACCCGGATGTTTATCTGAAAAGGAATGATAATGATGCTCCATGATTGGCAACTGAAATGAGAACTCACTTGGACCCTTGTCGGCTGTTGTGGCTGTTGCATGATCCTCTCCGCTGTCCGTGTTGTAGTCGTAGTCCTCGTGGGAGGCGCCGCTGTGCTTCGTCTCGTGATGCTGCGGCGGACTGGAGGCAATGGTCTGTGTCTGCTTGAGGTTCTGCAGTATGCGAATCAGCGTCTTGATCGAGTTGTCAATGTTGTCCGGTGTCAGGGTGTGCGGCAGATGATTGCTCGCCTGCAGTTTGTGCAGAATCTCCGCCAGCGAGGAGGTGCGTATGTCCGGCAGTTGATCATCATAGACGGCGGTATGTCCCTGAACAGCTGGCGTCAGTGGCGGACGCTCGTGGGCGTACTTGTAGACGGGCTTCAGCTTGATGGGCGTCACAGTGGAAGGTTCTCTGCTGGGGGACGGTGGGGGTGCCGGCGCCACCGCCTTATTGGCATTGCTGGACACATAAACGTACTTGGGCGTGATCTCCACCGTATGACTGGGCGTGGGCGCGGGAGTTGTCACATAAACGGGTCGCCTGGTGGCCTTGTAGGTGTGCACCGGCTGCAGCCGCAGCGTTGGCTGCTGCTTGTAGATCACCGCCGGTCGTGGCGTGGATATTTCGGGATGCCGCTGTAGGTTCGCTCCAGCTGGCTGGTGATCCGTGTGCGGTGCCGTTGTGGTAACCAGAATGTAGGCATGCTGCAGTTGAGGCGGCGCTGCCTGGGATGCTTCATGTTGATGCTGCTGCTGCTGCTGCTGTTCCTCGTCCAAGGATTGCCTGGGTCCGTCTATCAGGTAGTCTATGTATTGCGGCGGTGCTGGGGAACTATCAAGGGGTTTACATTTTTGAATGATATTTAGGGAATTTTGATTTAAACCAAAGCACATAATGGTTTGGCTTGCATAGGAGGATTTCTGTTGGCAGATAGTATATGGAATTGGGTCTGTGATTTAGTTATTAAATTTGAGTTTGATGTTTAATTTTTATGTATTTCGCTCAGCGGTGTTAGCTGCTTTCCAAATGAATGACAAATAATGTTTTAATGTCCATTAGATTGTCGTAAATCCATTGCAGAATATTGTATACAAAGAATCCACAGTTCGTACAAGCAAAATTTCATTTTTTGATTTAAAATTAATTCAAATTATGGTGGAATTTTGCAATTTTAAATTGTGTCTAAAAATATGCAATAATATTTATACATTATTTGAGCAAGAAAACAGCAGCCAGATCGAGCCAAACATTACTCCAGTTCATCGACAAAATGTATGCACAATTTTACATATATTTACCACTGTTATTTCTAGAATTCTTTCACTTTCCACGTACGAGTTGGTACATTTGGAAGACCTTCATTTGTTGTCGCCCCATGCCCATCTTGTTGAGACTTACCCAAGCGGCGCTTCCTTAACGAACTCGTGATGGCGCGGCGGCTGGGACTGCGTCTGTGTCTCCGACAGCGATTGTTCGTTTACATGGGCCAAAAGGGCGCGCAGTGGAATGTGCAACACCTGTTGACCAGCGGCCGTATCCGGACGCACATAAGGCGCATCGTACTTGTGTGGAGACTGCGACTGCGACTGCGACTGTGTCTGGGTGTGGGTTAGCTGATTGGGATGCTGATGAGGAGTGTGTTGTGGTGGGTGTGGTTTCCCAGCTAATGTATTGCTTTGCGCTGGCCTAGCCGGATGAGGGAAGTCGTAGTGTTGTTGTTGTTGCTGCTTTTGCTGCTGCTGTTGCAGCTGTTGTTGGTGTTGCTGATGTTTCTGGTGTTTCATGCGTTGTTGTAAGTAAAGCACATACTTCTCCTGGGGCGTCATGTGCCCCTGACTCTGATGTGGATGGTGCTGATGATGATT